ATATATATCTTGACCGATGTTAATTGATTGAGAAGTTCCAAATGTTGTTTTTTCCTTTTGCATCAAGCCATGGGAAAGAAAGACTTGGCTAGTTTGAGCCTCATACCCCACCGGACCCGAACGAATAACTATCGAACCCGAAATCGCAGTTCGGAGCCGTTTCATCTTGTTCCTACACATCAAAAGAGGGACAAAAACACAAACCAAGTCAATACAGAGATCAAATTCATTTTACTTTTATTATTATTATTAGACAATGGCCATACCCTTTTGATCATAGCATTCATCATATCGTCCAACGAATCATAACCACGACCACCAAATCCCCCTTGCGACTTTTCGTTCTGGCTGCCGTTCAAGGGAACGTAACCACCTTTCGAGCCATGACCATTTTGCCCCTGTTGACCACCACCCCACCTCTGACCCGCACCTTGCTGCCCATCAGCGCTCAAACCGTCTAGAGCCAAAGTGGTCCCAGGCCCAGACATGTCAATAGAGTTGCTCGGCACATAACCCTCGCCTGAAAAACTACTGTCCCGCGTGCTATTTATAGCCAACTGAAACGGCTGCCCGGAAATTAACGAGTTATTCGGCTGCATCATACTGGAAGTCTCGATGCTGCCGACACCAAACGAGTCGGGCCCAATCCCAAAACCCCCATTATTCAGCGTTTGTTGAAAATTCCCGTTCATTACATTACTGGGCCCGCCGATAGTTCCCTGCTCGGGGAATTTATTGGGTACTTGCTTGTTCGGGTCGAGCTCTAAGGACAGCTGAATTCCTGGGAAAAGGTTTTGGCCCGGATTCGGGTTTGTGAGGCCCGGGTGCATTTTATTAAGGGGGGAGAAGGAATTCGGCTGGATGAATGCAGATGGGGAGATATTACGGAGGTTCATGTTGGGAGGTGCGTTTATCCGCCCGAGCATGGCCCCGGGTGAGTAGTGTGGGAAGGCCGCGTTTGGAAGCCCACCAAAAGGGCCCATACGCATAAAAGGTGAGTCTTTTACTCCGAATGCGGCTGCCATGTTGGCCTGCTGAGTTGCGACTGAGCTGATTCGTTTGAGGTACAGCCTGTATTTCTGTAAAGGGTCGAAAATAGTAAGAAACTTGTTACTGTGACGACCTTTCGACTTGATATTTATTTACTCCATGCATCACAAATATGTAGTCGGGCATTGAAATTTTGGGGTGTGCTAAAATAAATAGATCCAGTTTTTATATGTAATTACTATATTTTTCATTCTTCTAGCTTTATCAACCTAATTAAGATGCACTCTTGATGATCAGCGAAGGGTATATCAAGAAAAATATTTGCTTTTTCGCAATTACAATGAAGAAGATATGATAAGTACCTGGAGATGACTTGCCACGTTTTCTCGAGTAAGACCTTCCACATTCATCAGGTCAAGAATCCTTTTCGGAACAGCCTCTGCAATTACATTAACAAAATTATATATATATATATATATATAGAAAAAGAGCAAGAATGCACACCAAAAGGTATTGCAATAAATAAAATGACAATACAAATAAAAAATAGAAAGGTGATAGATTTAGCAAAAAAAAGTCTTACTTTCAATGCCTAACTGGTTCACAGCTGCAACAAACTTCCGGTGAAGCTCAATGGACCAGACAACACGAGGCTTCTTTTGAGTTGCAGGATCTTCATTCTCATTTCCATCTTCACTCTCATCCTCTTCATCTTTCCTCTTCCTAATATTCGTTTTTCCATTTTGATCCGCGTTTTCTCCCGGGATGGTCCCACCTTGTCCTCCTTCTCCACTCGGTATTTGATTAGGTTTGGTTTGATCAACAGACTTATTCTCGTTCCTGTTCACAAACTTCCGTCTTCTTATCACATGTTGCCATATATTCCTCAGCTCCTCAATCCGGACGGGTTTGACCAAATAATCACAAGCACCATGAGTGACTCCTTTCATTACAAGTTTGGGGTCACTATTCGCAGATAGCACTGCAAATACAATGAAACGTTTAAATTTGTATTTTTTTCATTTTTCGAGTAAAAACAATCTAACGGATAATAGTGAACGAGAAAAGGAAATGAATTTGACACGTACTGATGACGGGTAGATCCATTTCGAGGCCAACCTGTTCAAGAAGCTTAAAGCCATCCATGTCTGGCATATGGACATCACTGATAACCAAGTCAAATCTGTCTTTGTTTTCCCTTAACATCTTCAAGGCCATTCTCGCCTGACTCGTTGTGCTAACTGTTCAAATGCCATTTTTTTCATGGAAAAAGTTGATTAGTTATTTGTTAAAGATCCAACAAAAAATCCTTCGGAGCGCACAAAACTTGGCAACTTGAGAATCGAACTTAGATGCAAATCATAGCTATATCAAAACCTTACTATCGTCAGCTCAAAATCCAAAACAATGATCAGAACTAAGACAAGATATCATGCAACTAATGGATCCTCAAAAATCCCAAACCTAAATACCAAATGCATCAGACAATGGACTTGTTGAATTTTAGGGGAATCTAAAACAATTACACCACAAATCAAGAAAATCTTCAAACAGATAGCAAATTCATAACCAAGATACAAAAACAAGCATATCCTCAAGTCTCAACTAAAACCAACAAAGCCCCCGAAGCCCACATAACATGTCAGGCCCGAAATTCACATACCAATCTTGAATCCAATCAGCCAAACACAAACGAACATATATAAAAAACAAGTAACAGAAGAGCAAAACCCACCATGGTACTGGCATTTCCTAAGCAGAGTATCCAAAAGCTTCAAGCAAATTGGGTCATCATCAACAGCCAGAACACGCATACCCACTGGGAAATTCTCGTAATTTTCGTTGTCGCCCTTCATTTTCTCCACAGTCATGATTGTTTGTTTATCCCACAATCCAAACACCCCCCCGGATAAGAAACTACAATAAAGATCGCAACTTTGAGCCCGAAAACCTCCTCTGAGGCACCAAAAATCAGATCAACCGGTCAGAAATTGAGATGGGCTCGAATAAAAACACTAAAAAGACCGCAAAAAAAACTCGGTCGGGCCAAGTGCAAAGCTCTCTGCACATGAGACAAATGATGGTTTGAACCCCACAACACACCCAAAAAATGTGCTTAAAAAAACCCTGTGTGTAGATCTTTTTTGTCTCTTGCTCCTCTTTTTTGTGATATTTTAGTGGTTGGCGATAGAAAGGGGGTTTTATTTTATTCATAAAATATGGATATAGATACAGACTCAAGTGTATGTATGTGTTGGGTCTGAAAATAATGGAGGTTTTTTTTTTTGTATTGTTTAAAAAGAGTAAACTTTGTTTTGCGCGAGCATGCAGTGCAATTCTGGAAGGTGGAGACCCTTTTGGGAACGGTAGGATGCGGGTGAGGCGCACTGAGGGTTCAGTGCACCACAGCTAGTTTTGACGAGGGTTTGACTATTCGTCTCGCATAGTGGGATTGTACCTCGAGAGTGAAGGTACAAGGTGTCGATGCGGCCGTTTTCCACACATTGTATTTATTTTTCCGTCGGCTTTTTCTCTTCAAAATTGTCATCATGTAACAATGCTTTTTTGGAAATATCAAATCTGTCCTTGTCGGCACTTGTCGAAATGACATATTTGCCCCCGACATCATTTGATAGCCTTTTTTTGGCGCAAAAATTTATTGGATTAGTTTCCAATGCCCTCAAAAGTACACATGTTGATTTAGAGCCTCTCAAGCGCAGCGCTAGATGAGGCGTTTTGCGCTGGAGTAGAAATGAAATCTGCTCCAATGTTGCACCAAAATTTAACGCCAGATGAGAGAAATGAATAGTGTTGCGTCACATGTGGCGCAACACTATTCATCGACGCTACAATTTTTTTATTTTGTTTATGCCCTAAACCATATATGGTCTAGACCATATATGGTTAAATTATGTTAAATAAAAATAAATAAAATATATTTTTATTATTAATTGAGTAATTAACATTTTATATAAAATTAAATATACATATATATCAATTTATTTGAAATAAAAAATGAATAAAAAATAATATATTCAATGTAGAGCAAAATGTAGAGATAAAGGCTGGAGATGAATGTTCAACTCTACTATAGAGTATAGTAAAGTCCGCGCTAGAGTAGAGATAAGGGCTGGAGATGGCCTTAGTCGTTCTAACCAATCAAATAAATATATTATTGCCTGATGTTAGTCATATTTAATTTTGATGTCGGTCATGTTTAATCTCAACATATTTTTTAATGAAAATTATATTATATATATATATATATGAACACGGGTCATAGTTTAAAAAACAATACAAACAATACTTGGCTCCGAATGATACCTATGACGGGCCGTATGGGAGCGTTTTGAGGGGATTCGGGAGTTGTTGGGCCGCCCATGGAAGGTGCGGTTGCTCATGGTTATCAGGAAGTCAATTTTGTAGCGGACTACTTGGCTTCTTTGGCGGCGAAGGGTTCAGGAGGTCTTCATCGTTTGAAATCTCCTCCACCAGGGGCGGGCATCTGGTTACATCATGATATGATCGGGGTGTCTTATTCTCGAAATGTTCTACGATAGTTTTGTTCTATAGGCGTTGCCTCATTTTCTTGTTAAAAAAAAAAAAAAAAATACAAGCAAGTATATAACATTTCTTAATACATGATGTGTCGGGTCGAGAATCTGCATGAACCGATGACAAGAATACTCTGCCCGTCTGAGTAAAGCTAATAACATGTGAAACAAGGATGAGAGAAGTTTTCGGCATGAAGATTTCGACATTCAAATCAGTGATCGAAAATGAACAAAATATGGTGAATGATTAAATGAATAATGAAAAATTATGTTGATAATTCATAATTAGTACGACACCTGTATACGGAACTTTGAATAAAATATTCTATAATAAAAAATAAGTATATAAAAGTATCTATATTTTTATTATGAAATCATAAAAATGAATGTATAATAAATAATTAATACTATGATGTATATTAAAAATGACATGCATTTGTTACCCTCAAATTGTCAAAAAATGATAATTATTTTAGTTACATTTATAAAATTATATATATAAATATTTACAAATCTACTAATTTGATTTTGATTTATTTAATTTAATTGAATAAATTTGAATCAGTATGAATTGTATGCTTCTTTATAGATATATTTTACAATATCATATAAAAATTTAAAATAATAACACAATAAATTATGTTTGATTTATATTGCTTATTTTCTTCTAATTAGTAATATTCGATCATCCAACATATAAATTAATATTTATCAACCTAACATTCTATGACTATGAATTAAAATTATAGTTTTTTATTAATTTTAAAATCGATATTTACTTATAGTTTTATTTTTATTATCAAAATGATGATCAATACTTTTTATACTTTATTTAAGTGGAAACATAAATTTTAGATTTTTTTTTCATATTCATTATATTTTTATACTTAATATCTGCATAATTTTGTAAGTACTGAAATAAAGTAATATTTTAGGGTAAATTAATTTTTACATAATATAAAAATATAGTTCCATTTGTATTTTTAATTTTCGTTTAAAATATATTTAACATTTTCTTATAAGTATATATAAAAATAATTTTACATTTATATATGTTATGTGGATGTCAAATTGAAGATCGACAAAAGATGATAAATATGATAAATCATATCTAAAAAATTGAATAAAGGTGTAAAAAAAGTATTAACTTTTAATATATTATAAAAAATATAATAAACATTGACAAATAATATCAGTTTTGTATGCTCAAATTTAACTGGAAAAGAGATAGATGTGACAAAATAAATGCATAATCGTCAAAATTGCAATAAATTACTTGTCAAATATCAAATCTAATTGCAAAGTGATAATTTATATACAAACCTTACGAACCACAAAATTTTGTCACGTCAACATTTGAATCACGCGAGTCTGTCACTGACGCCCAACACGTTTCGAATTAATATATAGAGATGGTGTTGTGAATGGAATAAAGATGAAAGTGTAACTATAAAAGTTACATAAAAATAGTGACATAATGATTGATAATAACAAAGGTAAATTGAATTTTACTTAAAATTACTATTGTAAATGATTATTTTCTTTTATCTCATAAGTTGATTTGACAAAGTTGTTAAAGTGATGACAGCTGGTGAAGAGGGTAGATTAGTCTTTTTGTATAATTTGAGGATAAATTACTTTAGAACTATCAATTCAGAATCTTTGTAATTAATTATTTAGGACTTTGAATGCTAATGATTTTCCCATTTTTTTTTTTACCTTTGTATAGAAATTGTGCAGCTTCCAGCAAGTTGCCTTTTTTCATTTAAATATTAAAAAAGGTGCTAAAATTGTGCTTCATTTTCAAGAAATTATGACTTTACATTTAGGCATCCAAAAAACTTAAAAGGCAGTCTGAGCCATCATCCAATGAGAGTGAGCCGATTAGCATCTTCATTATCTTTTGAAAAAATACATTTAATATAATAATAATAGTATTATTAATATTTGATGGAGATGTGTTGAGGTTGGTCTTGTCGACTGCCTTAACCTTAATTTCTCGAGTTAGTGTTGATTTATGTGGCTTTTTTTTTTTTTTTTT